CCCTCCCTCTCTCTCTCACTCTCACGAACGCACACGCACACGCGCGCGCACACACACAGTAAAATCGCGAGGATCGTTTCCTTGAACGTTAGTGAAATTTTGCCAAATTTCCTCCGTCTTTTACCAGTCAATATTACATAGAGAGTCTGAACTTTATTTATCTCTCCGACTCTTTGCTCTCCATTACGTCTTATACTTCGGAGGAAGCTTAGACAATCCGTTATTAAGGACTCGCTAGCCTTTTAATGTTTCTTGGAAATTTTCTCTTTTACACCCTGTAATCTTATTTCTTTGGGGAGTAACACGTAGAGAGAAGCATTGATCTAAATCTTACAACTTGATTAACATTGTTTTAATGTTTACAGGAACAATACTATTTGTCCGTGGTAAATGCCTACCGGTTCAGCGGACGTAACGATGAAGCTTGATTCGAGTTTATCGAAAATTGCAAAGTGGGATACTGTAAGCGCAACTAACACGCCAAACTCTAACAAGTGTAGAGACACAAGAACAGGGTAGAATTGTAAGTCTCGTGTAGCCGACTCTGTGAGATCTTCTAGACCTTTCGTCCAATTTTCGTGGAATGCCCAGCGACTCTTCTTTTTTCCTAAGTGATACATCTAAAGTAATGATTAGCGAATAGCGCGCGCGATCGGTGTCATCTGGACTCGAAGAAGCGGATAGCGTAGATAACGTAGATTAACTAATAGACAGTGCGTGCGAGATTTTTGTAGTGTTATCTTCGTCGAGCGTACGCGTAAGTGACTAGTAGTTTTCGTAGTTACGCGAGGACACGCGTCGCTCGTTACGGCGAATTTGAGAGAAAAGTGTAATAGTTGCTTGGTGGAGACATCCTCATCGTGCTTTCAAAACAAGCTTTAACAGTTTAACCCTTGTCTAATCTTTCCTCATCTTTTGTTTAAATTTTCTGTCAGCCTATTTTTTACCTTTTTCTAAATTTCTTTATTTTCATCTTTTTTTTGCTGCGATAAGGTTTGCGATATGAAAGTAGCAGGGGAAAGAAACTTTTAAGGATGTATCTGAGATACAATCATTGACAAAAATCCCCCAAATTCGAAAAACTGGCATATCTACGCTAAACGTGCAGTAAACCTAGTGATAACTGATATAAATGATAACTAACATAATATATTTATTTTTAAAAAGTTATTTTTCACATTTTTCAGCGCTTTATTAGGTTTATTTGCCATTTTACAACTTTCTACAATAAAACTTTTGGCAGTGAAAATGCCCAGAATGCAACCTTAGAACATCAAATTTCTTATTTATTTAACACCATTATTTAACAGTGTAATACAGAAAAAGTAATTGGAATATAGTTAAAAAGGTAAATATGCATTATTTAAACAATAACTATAAATATTATTTGTTATTAATATTAATATTTGACCATCGATGAAACGGGTTAAACGTGGCAATAGCGCGACATTAAGTTTATGGCTTCAAGGTTGATAGCAATGCACTTTTGACATTGCGAGCTAACTTCTGTTTAGTCCTGCATCGCAATGTCAAAAGCCACAAAAATGTATCGGTGGAAAGGAAAAATAATTAGCGAAAGTACGTATCGAAAGAGACTTGCGCAACAAAGATGTGGATTTTTAAGAAGAAAAGTTCAAATTGTGCAAGAAGAAAAACTGAGCCTACCATGGAGGAAAATGTGAGCGAGAAACCAGAGTTTATGTTGTTTATCAAAATTATTTAATTTTTATTCTTGTTCTCTAAATGAAAACAATACAGATAAAACGAGACTTTACGACGTGACTACTGTATCGGTCAGGTTATTCGTTTGACACGTTCAGCTGATTGCGACGTTGCCGCACTTCTACAGTCCAGTAATTGACATATTACAGAAACCGCAAAATTGTCATGAATAATAATTAATTTCTCCTAAACCGTGTTATGAAACCTAATCGAATTTTGCACAAGTTCCAATAATCCATGGTCTATATGTATAAAAAAAATTAAAATTTTGGTACTATTTTTTCTATACTTTATTACTTATTTCATTCAAGAAAATTGCGTTTCCCATAAGAACACGTGTAAAATCAGACATAATTGAAATAATAATTACTCTCTAACGATTTAGTAAATCTACTTAAAATTTTTTTCAGTATATTACAGATAACAAAGGAAGTGTTTCCCGAAGTTTCATCAATTTGGTACTATTTTGAAATAGCTCAGATACATCCTTAAGCGTAAGCATTTTCTCGACCAGGCGCTATTATTGCATTTGTTTTCATGAAGGAGAATCGTCTTCCTCTGTTGTTCAGAGGAAGATTAGCAAATGTTTTAGGAGATATATTTAGGATGTATGTCAGAATATAGGGAACACTTTAATTGCATACTTTCAAATGATATACTTCGACGAAGAGTTTTATTGCGCGAATATATTGTGCCGACGTATGTACACGCGTGTCTGTGTCATCAGTGCACACCGAGTTGCGAACAGTGTTGTACCTCCTGGCTGCATATGAGCATTCGAATAGAAGCTCGCAGGAGCTCAAGCAGTAAAAAATTTTGATTCAATTTACAACGTCAAAAGAGACAGTTTAAAAGACTTGAGAAGATTTTTTATACGAGGAAAGTGATTTGAAGGTACTGAGAACATCGTAAAGAAAGTTAATATCACGAGGTCTCACAATAATCTCCCTTTATGCATCCAAGAGTTGAATCACGTTCTTTGCTGTCGCAACGAATCAAATAGATACGCAGCGCGTGCAGCACGTATATTTTTCTACCTCTTACTTTTCTGATAGCGCCACTGAGAAAGTTAGGACGAGTCCGCAGGCTCCGATGCGCGGTGCAGAATAACATAGAACCGTATTATAGTTGATAATTATTAGCGTAACTTATACATATATACATATGTAGAGCGATTATTATTCTCTAGATACACACTCTCGAGAAACGATTAATGGTTCTCGATAGATCGGAAAATCTCTCGCATCCTGGCTGTCACTTTACATCTACATCACGGTTTTTATGATAGACAAATCAATTTTATATTACCATCGTAATGCGCGGATCTCGAAAGAAAAAATGTTGCGGATACAGATATCTCTCAGGATAATACAAAATTTGCAAAAAAAAGTACTTTAGATATCTCTCGTCGTTTTTCCATTTTTTAAATTTGATACGATTCTCTCCACGGTTTACAAGACGAACCGCTATTTCGCGAGATCGAAATTTATAACTTGCAAAGTGAGTATCTTAAGATAGAATAGCGTTATGTCTTTCAAAAAAACAAAGTAAGGAGTTGTTTAATCAAAAAATGCAGGCTACGCAGTTTGCACATAATCGAGTCTCGAGAGTTAAACTGTCATCCCTCGATGTTAACAAGGTGGAATATGTCGTGATTTGTTTTAATTCTGTAATACGCGCGAAGAACAGTCCGCGACTTAGGATCGATCCAATTTATTATTACGCCTCGAAAACAATAGTAAGCTCTCGATTCGCGAATTGTGTATCGTGCGTACACGGGATTTCTCTGATTCTGCTATTATTTTTACGATTGTAATTTTACATGGAAAAAAAGTTCTTTTCGTTTCGCGCTTAAGTTGAATGCAAGAAGTTTAAAAGGAATCAGTAGAACAGGGAAATTTCATCCTGTATTATCGATTATCCAGTAAACATCAACTAACAGTTACGTAACATTATACTTTCTCACTCAACAATATAAATGTAATATAACATGTTGTACGTAGCAGTTACATTGTTGAGTAGGAAATTATAATATTGATGTTATGTGACTGTTGATGTTTACTAAGCAGTTATTGTTGCACAGCGGAAACAGCATCTAGTGAGACGTCAGGTGTGCGTGTGCGTGTGCGTGTGAATGAGTGAGTGAGTGAGTGAGTGAGTGAGTGAGTGAGTGAGTGAGTGAGTGTGTGTGTGTGTGTGTGTGTGGGGGAGGGGGGAGTGCGCGCGCCTTTATTTGTACCCAATCAGCATCGCAATTATTACAAAATGGAGACACGGAGTGTTTAATAAGCGTAGATTGTATATCGACTCGTTCTTGATCGGAAAAAAATATGGAAAACTGCAAATTAAAAAAATCTTTTGGTCTGGAAATTTTTGACAGATTTGAAGTTATGTGTTCTCTTTGAAATTTTTTGCGAGTCTCATTGTATATTATTATATGTATTATTATATTGATAATTCAAACACTACGGTAAAGTGTTGGAAGCCAAGTGTTTTTTGGTAAATTTTAAGTGGAATTTAATAGCAATTTAAATATTATCGCATAGAGATTCTCTCTAATTAATAGAAATTGCATTGTATTATGTTACATTGGGCATTTTATATACTTAATAAGATATTAATCTCTATTATATATGATATTATAGGAGTTTAATTATTATTAAAACTCTGTTTTTCTAACTTTGCGAAGCTTTATTGTTAAAATGAGTTAATGTTAAGAAAGTTCGCAATGCAAACGGTCGCGCTGTTGAATCTTTTAGGTGCAAAGGTTGCTCGCAATCTCGTCGAGAGATACGGTAGAAGCGGTGAAGCATTTTTAAGAATCGCTATGAAGTTATCGAATAATCACACTTGGGCAAATGACGAAGAACGAATGTCTTCTTCCGGTGGACCGCGATTTCCTCAAAATAAAGATATCTCCCGATTGAGATAGTAGTTTAGATTTTCCACGGAAAAAGGGTGCGTCACTTTTTTCTCGAAGGACCTGCTTACTTGGTAGAAATGATAACTTCGAAAATACTTTTTCATTATTATCCCTTATATCATATAGATTCATATGATAGAAACATTTTGGAATATGAAACTTTGAGGGATTCTCCTACAAGATGGTCCTGACTACCCCTTTCTTCTGGACGATCTCGAACTCACACAGATATATGTGCGGCGACACAAGAGAAGAGACGTGAACAGTTTGTAACAATCGATCACCAAGCTTTAAAATCGCTCGTACCTGCGGAAACCCCGTGCTACGCGTTCGGGGAGCCTTGTCATGAGAAATGCAACTTTCCCTCCCCCCAATGTGTCGACTGAATTTTATTATTTGTACTCCGATCGCGCTACCTTTCGATACAATTTATATTAATAAGAGGGGGAGAGATCGCGAAGACATTCCACGAGACTAACTTTCGGTGCAGGCACATCCTTATCGGCGTCAGTCTAACAATAAGTCCCGATCTAACTTCGCCACGCAACTAAACGGACAAGTAAGACAAAGAAATGTATATACAGGGTAGGCCATTTTAATCTACGCACTGAAATCTCTCAAAATCCATAAGTTTAAGACAAAAATGTTTCAGACAAAAGTTGTTCAAGATAATGGGGGTCACCTATCTGTGTAACTATGCTTTGACCTTGAGACTACTTTTAAAGGTTATTTGAAGGTCAGAGTAGTTTTTTTAAATGGGAACCCCTATTTTTTATTACATATTCTTATAACTTACCTCGAGAGCTTTCCAAAACGCTATAATAAAGTATTTTTTTTATTAAGAACTTTTTGAGTTATTAAGGTTTGAAAATTCCAATATTTTGACATAAATTACAAAATATCTTGTAAAATATTCATTTTTTTTATTATCTTACCTTAATACTTTTTGAACAGAATATTGAGACAAATCAACCAGTATAAAGAAAACACAATTGTTAAAAAAAATTTTTTTATTGTTACAAAATTATATAATATATATATATATATAGTTTAGTGCACTAACACTATCGACGCGCGACTCACGGACAAGTTTCCGTTCAACCGTAATGTATGATTGGCCTGTTTTGAACCTTTTTATCTAAAAAAACTACTGCTCGGAACGAAAAATGGCAAATAACTTTTTAATTTATTTTTTCGACGACATTCTTGCTATGATATTTTGATTCGCGATTTTCAGGATACCCTGTATATATACACATTTATGTACGTATTATATATATAGTCGTAGATCTCGCTAATTGTAATACTTCTGCCGACGTAGACGCAGAGCACCTTTGTATCGTGAATTTTTGTCCTCTATCGCGCGATGCGTTTGTAAATTGTGATCTTCGTCGAGAGAAGATAATCGTGGGAAGCGAAATGCTGTGATCGTGAACCGATTAAGAGGATGCTAAGTCATCTGTTTTACCGACACATTCGAATATAGTTTTTGCGCTGCTGAATCTTTTTATTAGTTTTTACGCCTAAAATAATACCAGGATAAGTTGCGGACCGCATAGCAGAACGTTTTTATTCTTGAAACACTCGGGGTCAGAAGTCTAATGAGAAAGATATTGGTATTTGAAATTTTCAATTTTTTAATCGTGAGCAATTTGAAAAATATCGCTTTATAAGTAATTGTGGTTAGTCTTCACATACTGATATTTTTAATTTCTCTTCGTTTTTTATATAAAGTTGTGAACCCCCCGCTATGGTTTTACGCGTACTGTAATCGCGTGGAAGAATTTTGTAATTTTATAAAGCCAAATTCAAATTTCTCACGATTAAAAAATCGAAAATTTCAAATACCAATATCTTTCTCATTAGACTTCTGACCCGAGTGTTTCAAGTATAAAAACGTTCTGCTATGCGGTCCGCAATTTATCCTGGTATTATTTTAGGCGTAAAAACTAATAAAAAGATTCAGCAGCGCAAAAACTATATTCGAATGTGTCGGTAAAACAGATGACTTTAGCATCCTCTTAAGTGCTGATCGTGCGAGCTGCTAAGTTTAAAAGAAAAACGGCGATTGCGATCAGCGCTTGACCGATGGTGATGGTGATAACGATGATGATGAGGATGATGATGATGATGATGATGATGATGATGATGATGGCCAATGCGATATTCTTTGTAAGTTGTAGTACATTCGCGACGCAGCGACGGCAATTTTTCAACAACCAATGGCTTTTCAGATTTTTTCAAATCTTACGTCGATTCTATGATTAATGATCGCGAGTTCAACGCGAATTAGGAGATTTGAAGAATTCTAATCAGTTGATCGCCTTGGGATGTAAATAGATAACGAGACGTCGTTCTTCTTTTTCAAATAATTCCTAGCGCTTCTTGTTCCCCGACGTATCGAACCGTTCGCTATAAAAACTGAAAACCGTGGCTGAAAAAAATTAGGTTCGAAATTGCCGCGCTGCGTAGCGTAAGTATGCATGGGAGAGAAGAGAAAAGAAAGCCAGATTGTGATGACCGATTTTCGACGAGGTCTCGCGGTGGCGTTGATGCAACGAACACGGTATCGGGATTGTGCGAAAAATAGGGATGTTACGAAGAAATGAGGAGGAACGGGCGAGGAAACGGTACGCCTGTGTCTTAAAAATTCTTGAGACGGCGGAGAAAGGTGGAACATTTCCCACTGAGTACACAGTGGGTGCTTTCTAGCAATGTACATACACAAGCGACACTGTGTAACACATTGTGCGATCCGGTGCTTTCCAACTACGTCCGACACAAGTCAACACAATCGTACACTGCTAAAATGCTGAGTTGGACTATGCCCTGATAGCACACAAAAATCTCAGAGATATTTCAGGAACATAACATTGCAACCTTTGAAATTATTTCAGTAACGTTCCTCAAGGTTTCTGTAACGTTCTAGGTACGTTGCAGTAACGTCAAAATGTCCGCTTAGGTTAAATTTGCAACCATCCAGATAGATTGCAGCAATCTTGCAAAAACGCTATTGAAACCATACAGAAACTTTTAATAAATGCTATTGCAACGTTGCAGGTAGGCTGCAGTAACGTCAATATCTGACAAGGTAAAAAATTTTCGATCATATTCATTTATAAATTTATTTGTCAGATAATCAATTCTTTACAGAAATGCTATAACTATAGTAGTATTTTTATATAACGTTCCTAGAATATTAATTGCAGTATTTATTAAACATTTTTATAACATTTCAGTAACGTTTTTGTAAGATTTCTACGATCTATCTGGACGGTTGCAAATTTAACTGAAGCGGACATTTTGACGTTACTGCAGCCTACCTGCAACGTTGCAATAGCATTTATTAAAAGATTCTGTATGGTTTCAATAGCGTTTTTGCAAGACTGCTACAATCTATGTGGATGGTTGCAAATTTAACCTAAACCTAAACGGGAAATTTTGACGTTACTGCAACTTACCTAGAACG